CAATAATATAGAAACACCTAAATCATCAATCATCAATCATTTATCAGAACAACAATTTGAATAAAGAAACTTCAATTAAGAAAATTACATATTTAATTTAACCACACACCTCTTTAAAAAAAGCAAACAATAAGTCACATACAATGTAGAAGATACTCTTCATTTATTAAAAAAAGATCAACACAGTCCTTTGAGAAGTGAAGTAGAGTAGTTTCGTGACAAGAAGACAATTCCACAGCAAACCATGTTTATGAGCTAGTTAGCGCGGAAAAATGGAAAACCATGTTTGAATGAAAGTGAGAGCAAGTGCAACAAAGGCAGCAACGAAAGCAGTGATAGTCCAAGGATTGCTGAAATAAGTGTGATAACCCAGCGCAAACCAAATCTTAAATTTATTATAGTGATGCTCGTGTATTTTAACTCTAACTTCAAAATATGTTTCTGCGTTATATGCCAAATCAGTACTTATGTTGTTGAAAAGATCAGCAACTTCCTCATCCCTCCAAGTGAATTCACCAAAATACCTTTTGATCTCAATTTCTTCACATCTTCAGCATGGTCAATGAGCGAGTCTATGAAAACCACGAACGAACATATTCCGTAGTCGTTCTTAAAATCTGGACACATCTCATACGCTATCAGGTTCAGTAAAGAAGCAGCTGTGTCATCGTCCACAACAATCTGAGGAAGAGTCAGTACCGCAGTAAACCAGCCCTCCCAAAAATCTACGTCTGTTGGCCCTCGTGTCCCGCTTGATCTAAGTTTTATTCCTACTGCTCTTAGATCTTGTATGTTCCTGTATGTCATCATCTTGCTTCTTATTTCTGAAAATTCCATACTTTGTTTCTTCCTCTAAGTACATATATAACCACTAGATTTCATCAGTTTACTAATCATATATAATAAAATAAGAAAACTATAATTTTTTACCTTGTGATTAGATTTGGTGAGGATTATTTTACGTTGAAGATCGAGAAGATGAGTTGGTTGCTTATTCTGAAAGTCCACTACATGCATTTCGTTAGTCTTTTTTCTGTGAACAAAATTAGAAATAAAATGCGTTCTCTCATTTTCTGCACTATTATTCTCTTCAATGACTGGTGTCCTCCAGGTCTTCTTATTATCCGGCAGGGCCCAATAATAATATTTGAGAAAATTCTTCATATTATATATCAATTCAGTCTCGTCCTCATTTTTCCATAACAGCTTCAGTACTAGATAGGGAAGCTGATTCTCCAACAAAAGCACATCCTTCATCACAAGAACAAGTTGATCTACTTTAATATTCAAATCTTGTGGTTTATCAAGTTGAAGCTTCAAGTATATCAAAATATACAGCAAAAAACATCCATCCACGAACAAAAGCCATGACAGCTTTTCTTCAATGCTGCAAAAGTCTTTTAGAGACTCTGAAGTATTGGCTAATTCTAAAACATTGTCGGCAAAAAGACTCATGAGTTCAACTATGTTATCGGCAATCTTTTGGTGTAGAACATATAGATTTTGTTGGGTGTTTTCGATGTATTTTGCTGCCCAGATAAGCTTATAGTTCTCTCCTAACTTGAGATTTTGATTGTTATGATGGATTGGACCTATTGACACAAACTTGGGTGAGTAATGCTGCTCAAAATTATTTCTATTTCGGAGATACCCATCAACCTTTTGGATCTTAGGGCGTGAGTTTTGGTGCATTTGCTTTGCTTCTAGAAACTCCTTAAATTTCACTTCAAGAGTGGTGAGGGATGCCATCATTTAATATGATAAAATGGTCTTGCAAAGTGAATATATATAGATATATTAATGACTAGTGTTTACCTTTACGATTTCATATGTTTTATTCATATCAATACCTTATGAACAAGATAGGTAAATATGCTTAAAAAAAGATTATAATCTACAACTAGACTATACTTATGCACTTTACTCCATTGACAAGAAAAGTAAAAATTCTTAGAAAAATGATATACGCTTCTACTGTTCCTTATCGAATCCTTTATCGAATTAAAAGACAACATAACGACTTTTAATATTATTTATTTATAAGTTAAAGATAATATAAAATCTGGTCCACTGTAAATTTTTAATTAATAATAAAAAGGCAAATTCTAAAGTACCTTTTCCTATAAAAATTAACTATGTATTTGTATAGTTACCATATAATAAAATATAAAACTAAGATATTTTCATTTTTAATTACAAATTTTGTATATTTGTAATTTAAAAATTAAGTTTATCTTCTACAACAAAACATCTTTACTCAAAATAATATGTAAGAAAAACTTTATTACAAAAATTCCTATATAACTTCCCCAAATTCCTATAATATTTCTCTTATTCTTTTTTTTTTTCTCCATATAACATTTAGATTTTTATGTGCTTGTATGTTTGTTGTCAACTTTCCGATGTTTTTTTTTGTTGAGATATTAGATATAATATTAAATATAATCTAAATTAGATATGTTGAGATATTAGATATAAATATCAAATATAATTCAAGTTGGTAAGTCTAAACTCAATTAGAGTTTTATATAAATAGTCATATTTTGTATCATTATTTGTACAATTCAAGTTAATATATAATTTTTATTTTTTATATTCTCTCTTTCTCTCCTCACTAAAAATATCCCACACACTAACAAATAGGTATTTAGAACTTTCGATTATTGTTCTTGATTGTGTTTTCAAGAACTTCACGTTAGAGATTGTGTTTCCAGTGCAAGTGAATCAGCCGCTGCGAAGATGGCTGATGATAAGGATATTCCGAATTCTCTTCCAATGCTTGACGGAAAAAATTGGATCCGATGAAAAAAACATATGCAATCTATGATACGGTGGGAGAACTGACTTGAAGGTTTTGCGTTTGATCGCAAATGTTGCGGTTAGTAAGAGTCGCCACCGACTTTTCTTTTATCCAAAAAGAAAGGTGAAAAAACCCAGGAAAGACCTTTGAGATTGTTTCTTGAGTTCGGGGGGGTAGATTATAAAAAAGGAAGGTATTAGCACCCTATTCATCCATGGTTTTCCATGGGCTCTTAGTTACTTGCTAGATCACTTGCTTTTTGTTTGAAATTGTGCTTGATGTGGTTTTTTTGAAAGTATTTTGTAAAGAGGCCTTTGTTTAGGCAAACTTTGTAATGATTCTCGTTCGTAAGAATGTATACAAAGTGTTGATCTTTTGAAAATATTTTCAAGTTTTGTAAGATGTTTTGAAAGTGTAAGTGTTTGTTTTGAAAATAGCAAGGATGTTTTGTTTTGAACTTGAGCAAGTAATTAGGAGCACTCTACCTACTCAAAAGTCTTTCTTGTTCATTTTTTTTCCTTTGACATTGTCATCTTACAATTGATTTGGTAAGTAACCCTATCTTTGGATATAAACGGGACGGGCGTGGGTCATTGTATAACCATGATTAGCAATGTTGCAAGGTATCTTAGCATTCTCTTTTAGGGACTAAGATCATTTGAAAGGAAACATGGATAGCGTCATCGAGGGACTATGATCTTGTATTTTGCTTGTTTTTGTTAAGATACCTCACATACGTAATATGACCATTTTGTAAGGCAACCAAGTGGATTTACCCTAGGGGTGCTTGTGTGCAAGTGTATTGTTTTCATGCTTGGTTTTGTCTTGAATTAGATTTTTTCTAAGTATTGGTTTTAGTCTTTCCATTCAAACCCTAATTACTAGCATGTTATATAAAAGTGATAAATTGCGAAATCTAAAGTTACTACGCTATTACAACACTTGTGGGGAAGGGGGTGTACAAATTGAATGGGGATTGCAAGAATTTAAAGCCTAATTAGTCTATTACAACCATATTGAATTGATATCAATGTACAAGGAAATAAATAAATACAAAGTACAAAATAAATAAATATACGAAAAATACAAAATGTAAAGAAAATGTATCTCTGTTTGATTTTCATGAAAAAAAGGATTTTTGTCTTAACCTAATAATTAATTAAATTTGAATTTTATTAAGAAAAGATTTTAAGTAAAAACCTAGTTCTATTAACTGATCAAAAGAAAATAAGTTTAAGAAAAATATTTTTGGTATTTTTATCTTAAAATTATTTACAGTATTATAAAATATTTTTAGTCTTTTTTTATATAAAAAAAATAATGCATTTAAATTAGTATGAAAGAAAATAACTAATAACCTAAATTTATTTATATTTACAAGATAATAAGTAAAAAAAAAGTATAATTAATAAAAATATTTTTGTGAGAAAAATAAAATAAACTAAGTCAAAATATAAATATATCCTTTTTTTGTATTTTTATGATTTTTTAGTATTTGGAAAATATATTTAAGAAAAGAAAAATGAAATAAATAAATAAATAATAAAACTTGGGCCAGGGGGTGCCAAGAGGAAGTAGGGAGGTCAGTCAGCAAAAAAATAAAAAAAATAAGTCAGGCCCAAAGAGGCCCAGCGCCCTGCAAACAAAAAAAGTCAGAATTGCAAAAAATGAAAAATGAAAAGGGTACCACTGGGGCTCGAACCAAGGTCCCATAGGTTACAGGCGCGCGCTTCTACCACTGGGGTGGCTATACACCCGTTAATACAAATGAAACAATAAATATGTAAGGCAAAACGTATTCTGAAGACTTCATCTTAAACCTCCAGCCAGACCAACTGTAACTTGCTTATTTCTCATAAAAAATGAAAACTGTTAACATGAAACTTGTAGCAAATTTTCTCACGATTCCAGAAATGTAAAGTATTAAAACTATAGATCAAAGATAAGCGAGAATTTTAATGACCCTAATCTGAACCCTAAAAATTTCAGAAATTTCAGTTTCAAAATTCTCTAAGCTCAAGCAAAATTAATGGAAACTAAGGACATGGTTAGCTTCAGAGCAATGATATCTACATGTTTTATTCACAAATAAACTATTGATGATACATGTATGAAGAGTTCCAAGTTGAGAAAAACTTACCTCAAAACTGGAAATCGTGTTTGGAGTTTGAGCTTGTTTCAAGTGATGGTGATGATCAGGTTAGCTTCCTTGAGGTCCTAGGAAGCTAATGCAATGGTTTGCTTAAGTTGAGAGTGGCTGAAATGACTTGGAGAAGTCAATGTACAATGCTCTGTTTTTAGTTATGGAGTTTGATGCAAATGGTGTTACAATCGTGTAACAGGGACAGGGACAAGTTATATTTGATGTATATGAGCTTTAGGAACTAAAAGGCCAAAGAACGCACGAGGGAAATAAAAGATACAAGTTCAAGGTCAGAACCTGCACAAAAATGGAGTTTGTGTGCAATTTTTGGCTAGAGGGGATTTGATAGAGTTTCAGGCTTGCAAAAATCATCTCCTAAGTTGCATAATAATGTCTCAATGTATAGGAAAAGGTTTTTGAGAGCTTGGGTGATCAGAAGTACAAGTTCACATGTTATGGCTTTTTGGCTTATTTTTGAAGCAAGCTTGACAAGCATTGTTCCAAGGCAAGGTACAAGGCTATATAAAGTGGTTAGACACTTTAAACATGCTTATCTGGTTGTGTATAGGATGCTTGTGCAGAAAGAACAAATGCAAAGCTCAAGAGAAGTTGACTTTGTGATTAAAGCCACTTTACTAGAATGGCAGTGTTACTTTGTGCCATTAATGGAAATGCAACTTGGATAAAGCTTGAATCAAGTGGATAATAGCTCAAAATCAGGTGTAATCTTCTGATTATGGAGATATCTTAAGGCTTAGAGGCCTGCAAAACAAGATTGTGCAGCATAGGTTTGAAATTGAATTCTTGTTCATCACAAAATGCCTTGTAATTCAAGTGACAAAACCCTAACTTCATCTCTTCGATTCTCCATCCTCAAGAATGATCTCAAGGAGTTATTTGACATTTTAGAAAGCTTGCAATGTGATCTACAGACCATATTTGAATTTCTTTTGAATATTCCTCTTGGAACTATGTGAAAAAGTGTCATGAAGTTAGGTCAAAATCCTGGCTAAATTAGGGCAAAATTTCACTAAGTTTTTAGTTTCATGACCCTGTGTTCATAAAATCATAACTTGAGATCCAAGCATTTTTGGAAGGAGTTGTGTGAAGCAAAGTTTTATATTTCATGGAGATATATAACTTTCATGTTAGAAGTTTCTCTTGAATCATCTTGCATCATGGTGAAAATTTGGCTCAAAGTTATGAAAAAACATGAAATTTTCAACACTTAGAAAAATTTCTAAGTTTAGAAATTTTGACTTTTCAAAATTAAATCTTGACTTTTTGATTTCTTGATGAATAAGTTTCATATTTTGACATGTTTTTATGAATTGTGATCTTTGGCACTCGAATTTGACCAAAAAGTCAAAGTTTGATTTTTCAGTATATAGTTGACTTTTGATCAGTTGACTGAAAAATTCATCTGTCAATCCAATGGACTTGCAATGTTTTGAACCATGTCATTAGGTAAAAAATGATGAAATTGGACTCTTGAGATCATTCCTTAAACCAATTAACCATTTTCTAGGTCAAAAATCAGAAATTGCCCTTTCCTAGTCAAAACCCTAATTTTGACCATTTTGCCCTTTTGGAGATTTGATTAAATTTCTTGAGGAGTTGTGGTCCAAACTTGATCAAATTATACACATGAGTTTAAAATGTTGATGTGGACCAAAAATTATGAAGTTTGACTGTGAATTGGCTATAGTTGACTTTTTCCCCAATACATCTGATGTTTAGGTCAACTGCTCAATTGACTGATCAAAAGTGTGATTCAAAGCTTGAAATTTGACATGAGTAATCTTGAGG